TTTTGCAAAGTGTTGCTTTTCAACTCGCCAAACTATTAGCTTCAATTTGCCGGCTAATTGCGAGGCGGCGCGTCGATCCGCTCCTCCGACACGTTGACTGTTATTTCCCACTAGGATGTAATCGGATGACTGTGGGAGGTTACAATCACGCCGTGCGTGCGTGCGCGTGTGTGTGTGTGAGAGACTGTGTGGTCTTTGTTGCTGTCTTAAATCTAAGGTCTCAGAGACATTTATAACGTATAAAGCGAATTTATAAACAGAATTTGCACACTGCACTCGAGGACCACGACCGCCACTGCATCGATTTTCCCCATCCCCGTATTTCCGTGACTTTAAAGTTGCATGAGTTGGATTCTGGTAGCCGTTCAACATCTGTGTTGCATGGTATCCACCAACTTGTGGAACCGACGAACTGCTACTCACAGCCCAGGACCATTCGACTACATCCTACGATTGCTCAAAATCCTGAACACCATTTCTGACCGCTACAAATTTGGGCGCCTGTGACTTGCTGTGCAATCCAGGAACATGTTTATGCAGCGCTATTCGTCGGACTAATTTAGTTGTGGGAGCATCATTTCTGACAGCCGCTTCAATAACAGTTTTTGTCACATTTTCTCAAAAAGAATCAGTCATTATTCGCTTAGGATAAGGAAAATATACCTTCGTATTGTTATATTGTCTGTCTCCATGTGTTGCTGCACTCTATGTTCTGATATCCATTGCTTACGGGGTAACTGGCACTTGGATTTTGTGTGAGTTGTGTGTTCAAGTGTGTGCAATGTGGGCGGCACGTTACTTGTTATTTCAAGCTGGGCACGAGCTAATTAAAGCATCCCAATAGCCGCTATGGTCAAGTTGCTCGTAGAGCGCTCTCAGGATGCTACAGTGGCTTTATGCTAGCAGGGAGGCATACTTGACGGTGATGCAGACCTCTCCCAGAAACACACACACACTCGACATCCGAGTGTTGTTTTTGCGTACTCACTCCCAAATATATAGGCCCTCATTTCATTGGCTTAACGACCTTATCTCAACCAACTTAATGAAACGCGCTCAAGTACAGGCACGGCCACAGTTACTCACACGCACACACACACACACACACACACACACACAGGCTATGTCTTCATTATGAGGTCTGGTTGGTCCCCCGTGGAAACAACACAACTTATTTATTGTCTCCTCTCGTCCCTTTTGGAGTTATATTAACGATGTTGGCCTAACAGGTTGCATCCATAAGCTCCCAATTGCTTTTTGAATAGCATCGTGGAGCCACGCGTCAGATCAGTGTCGGCTCCGTGGAACACGGATGTGAAGCAGTGGTGAGAAACGGTGCTGTCTTCAACCTGTAAAGCTACAGAATGTGGATTTTTTTTGGGGGGGGTGATATAGTCCAATGGGCGTACAACACAGATATTAGGGGTATCAGGATTTAGACAACTAACGGTTTAAATTTACGTTTCATGTCATTAATCAAAAACAGACAATCCAACTGAATATATTGTACAACTTTCTGAGCTTAAAAAAAAAAAAAGCCGACAATTTGGACCAGATTTGTACATGTGATGTAAAATCAATATTCTGTGGCCAGGACTGCAATCTGACAGCTCAATAAGCTTTGGGTTCTCTTTCGCCTCCCACCTTAACTCCTTGAACATCCTGCATTCCTTTGGGGACTTAACAGCTCGAGGCACATTGGTTGTTTCACATGACAAGCTCCCACCGACAAAGCGAACAGGGATTGCCAGTGTGCCGCCCGGAACTAGCTACAGCGCGCACTCTGTCAAGATGACGACCGGTCCTTCTGTCCATCTGACCTCCAGCGGCATCATTACGTCGTTCGGGTACAATGAAGGAGCTGATGCGCGGGCATCTCTGCGGAAAGTCCCCAGAAAGCTCCCCATCATGTGCGGCAAAAGGGGGGGGGGAGTTATTGGAGGCGACCGGTGGTGGGAAATAAAGCAGGGCAAAAAAAAAGTTTTTTAAACGTTAAGAGTATTTAAATGAATTCAGAGACTTGTTTCGCAAAACATTAGACAGTTTCGAAGCTAATTGTTGAAAAAAATGTGCAAGGACAGATTAAGCTAAAATGAAGTATTTATGAAAAAAAAAATCATGTGAATAAAAATGAATTAAAACGAACTGAAATTTTTTAAAAAAAAAGTTAAAAACGAGCAATTGTGAAAAATACTAAACTAACTGATAAGTACGGCATAGTTTTGTCACTTCTGGAGAGAGAGAGAAAGTATTTTTATTTGCCTGTAAATTGCATGAATAAAAAGCTCCGCTGTTAAGCAGCTGCGTCGCCACACCAGTTTTATATTTGGGTGTTTTTTTTCCCCCCATTTCTTTTTTTAGGAACACAATTCATTTCTGTAAGTGATTAATCAATCGTCTTATGAATATTAACACTCTCCAGCAAGGTGTGACTGCCACATTTTCCTCTTCATCTCCTCAATTATCACATGAAAAATATATCAGAAAACACAAGACTCCCAATTTCCAGGTGTACCTATTTAAGTGTTTTTTTTTTTTTCCGGCAACTAAAAAGGCAGTCTTCATATTGATGCGCGAGGACCAACCTGACCCTGATTTAATTGAAATGATCATCAACTACTATTCTTTAGAGTTCTAACGGTTTGCCCCCTTCGTTCAAAACTGTTAAAATTAGCGGAGCTTTTCACGTGCCCGCTTCCTTCAACCTCAAACTTTTAAAACCCTCGATGTGAAGTGATCATCATAACTAATAACGTTCACACAGCTAGATCATTTCCTAAGTAGATTTGCCGAGGGCTCGTCGCGATCCCAACGCGGCGCCTTCCGTTTAACACGTTTGATTTGCGGCAGGGCGCTTTAAAAATAACGAGGACGCATCTTGTTAAACTTTTACAATGTTTGTATGAACGTAATATTGCCGTCGCAAGTGGTGGTTTTTATGTCGATACGCGTGGGTTCTTGAAGAGGAGGGCATCATTTTTTTTTTGTAATGAATGCGACGACGGCATGAAAAACCGCTGATAAATAATTAACGGAGAGACTTGGGACGGGGACGTCACTGCGAATTAACTACAGTCTGCTGTTCCGTGCGGTTAACTTTACATCGGTAACGGACAATAACGCCAGATGGTGGGCTTTACACTCATGCACACAAACTGTACACACACACACACACACACACACACACACACACACACACACACACCTTGAAAATAAAAGCCAAGTTGTTCCCATGTCGCACCAATTCACACTGTGATTGTGAAGACTCCGGAGCATTGCTTTTACATGTGTCGGAGGATCCCAGTAGGAATTCTCAACTTGCCAGCAGCTTTCATGTGATTTGACCGAATGGCGGAGGGGATTCGGATGGAAAGCCAGCCACCAGAGGTGGCTCCCGAGATGCCCGTGTTGTAATTAAAGCAGAGTCGAGCAGTTTGCCTTTTAGGCGCGGTCGCTGTCCGTTGCCGTTTTTGCAACGATCTGTTGAAAAGCTCTAGGCGAGGAAGAGGAGGTGGGGAAAAATTTCCAGGAAAGACGAACAAAGCGGCATCCTGGGAAGAGCGCTACGCTAACATGGCGGGGGGGGGGGGGGGGATGAGTAACAATTAGCCCTGCGCCAACGCAGATTTACGATTTGCCACCAGCGCGTTCGGGGGAACTCTGCGCTTAAATTGCAACCAGCGTGTTTACTACCCAGGAGAGCACGTCGATGCCATCAACTTTTTTGGGGGATCAAATAAGTTAACTTGGACAAACTGACAAAACGTCCTCATATATTGCACTCGACAGGGTGTCCCATAAAGTCTCCATACACATGAGAAATAATACATTCCACACAGAATGTGACTTGAGTCCAAGCAAATGACTGGAAACACGACTTGACTGCTCACACTCTTGGCATCATTGCTCTTCCACTCGAGTTCAACAGGTGGCGGTAAAAAGCCAACTTCAGACCACAGTATGGCTGGTCATGGTCGGCAGTAACTAAATGGTTAGGAGTAGGGGAGCATGACAACAGCCTAAGCTAACAATTGAAGAACTCACATTTTACAACCAGTTTGGAACGACAAGGCGTGAAATCAGCCCAGATTTGGAGTCGAAAAGTAGAAAATGGAATCGGGCAAGCAAACTGGCTGAAGACGCGCAGTGTTTGCCTGCCTTAAGTCCTTATCTGGCTGCCATCAGTCCAGTCAAGTGACCAAGCGTTTTGACCCCGATGGGCCACTGTAGTTCTTGTGCGTACTCGGAAATGATAAAACAATTACGACAATGCTGCTTTGATTAATACGACTCCTTATGCACTACGGTGGCCTTAGAGGTTAACTCGTTAGCCTGACAGTTTGCACATCAGCTCCGGCCTTTGTATGTTGAGTTTGATTAATACGACTCCTTATGCACTACGGTGGCCTCGAGATTAGCTCGTTAGCCTGAGAGTTTGGGCATCTGCTTTGTATGTTGAGTTCTCTCTGTAACCACAGAGAGATTTTTTTTTTTTTTTTTTTTTTTGGGATGGATGGAACTCACGTATTTGATGAAAATAGTTTGTGTTCATAATGAGGCTGGCGGTGGGCGTACAATCGTGTTGTAAATGTACATGAGTCACTTGCGGCAGAACAACAACAACATCGCGTACGGTTACAAAGCCGTTGAGATCCCAAATGATTGAAACCGTTCTGCCTTTCTTTTCTCGTTTGTTTGCGTTCACAAAAAAGACAGACAGACAGTGCCTGAAGGTCATTTGCATAATCAAAGTGGGGGTGGGGGGGGGATTTGTGCGGCGAGGACGAACCTCAGAGTACAGGCCTTGCTCTCGGCAGAGAGAGAAAATGAGGATGGAAGGGAAAACCGGATTGGGGGCAGTTCAGATGGGAAGCTCCGAGAGGCGGGCGGAGGCCAACCATGACGACGGGAGAGCAGAGAAACATTTCCAGAGGAACGAAAGACGGGAAGCTAACCACGGCGAGAAACTCGACCGAAGCGGAGGGCCGCAAGTCTCTTACCTTGGTCGATGCTGAGGTGACCGAGCCCGCCGCTGCGATGCCTCGCTTGGCCGCCACCTCGCCGCCCGCTGTCGTCACGACGACGGCGGTTGGCGTGGGGAGCAGTGAGGGAATGATGGGGAGGGGAAGGAGCCCCGGGCGGTTGTTGCCGTTGACGACGGCAGAGGCACAACTCTGATTGGCTCCCCCATTGTGGAGGCCCGACAGGCGGATGTCGCGCCGCTCCCACGGTGCTCGGTAGTCCCGTTCGAAGCGGTGGTGGTGGCGTGACATCACTTCCTCGTCCTCTCAGAAGGAATATCAACAGCAGGCCTAAAGGACAAGCATGAACCATGCTTTGTATTATTTCCAACATATATTTTGGTAATTTTGGTGAGAGATTTGTGTTTTTTGTCTTTCATTATTTTGTAATTTGCGAAGGCCGTGTCGTTTTTACTGAGCCATTCACTGCCATGAGCGAAATCTTTGACGTCTTCATATTAAAACTCATTCAGTACCAGCCAATTCTGAACCAAGTCTGAAAAGACGTTTAAAGACGTCTTTGGGAGTGAATGAGTTCAGATAAGAAAACCTTTATTTGCCCCACAATTGAGAAATTTGCAATGTGCAATTGTTCAGCAGCCTGACAGCAGTCGGTAGGAACGAGCGGCGGTGCCTCTCCCTCTTGCAGCGCGGGTGTAACCAGTCTCTGGCGGAAGGAGCCGCCCAGTGCTGTCAGGGTGGCCTGGAGGGGGTGGGAGGGTCTGTCCATCATCGCTTCCAGTTTAGCTATCATCCTCCTGTTTCCCACCTCCTCCAGAGTGTCCAGGGAGCAGCCCAGGACAGAACTGGCCCTCCTGACCAGTCCATCCAGTCTCTCTCTCCGTTATACCGATAAGTATAAATCACAAAGCCCTTTCCCCATCCCTGAAAAGTGCTGTCAGCAGCGGGTAGAACTGCTCAAAAAAAGTCTTGAGATGTCACTCTCCAATGCTTTTTCCTTCGCCTTCACTCTCCGGCCGCCTGCCCCCCTCCCCCCTTTAATAACCTTGAATTTTCTGAGCGGCTACAGTTGTATTACCACTAAAAAGATGTGAGGCGTAGAGAGGGAACATGGTGCTCGTCCGGCGGAACAATGACGGCGGTTTGCGCCAGCTAATATTCTCCCTTATCTCCGCAGCCCCACACCTCAGCCAGGAAAGAAGAGGGCAACCGGGTAATTCTTCCACAAAATAGGTAGAGAAGACACACACACACACACACACACACACACACACACACACACACACACACACA